GGACAAAGGTGATTACTGTACTTCAGATATTTTCGTGTTGCTCATTAGTATCCTTTTCCTTAAGCTTGATTAACTCTCTTTAGCATTTCTCGTAGGGCAGGTCTGGTGGTGATAAAGTTCCTCAGCATTTGTTTTTCTGGAAAAGTTTTCTCTGTCTTTTATTTCTGAGGGATAATTGTACTGGGTACAGCATTATCAATTCACAGAGGTTTTTTTTTTTTTTTTTTCCCCAGCATTTTGAATGTATTATCCCACTTCCTCCTAGCCTGTAAGTTTTCTGCTAACATATTAGAACTTTCTTATATGTTATTTGCTTCTCTCTTGCTGGATTCAGAATTCTCTCCTTTTCTTGGATCTTTGACAGTTTGAATACAATATGTTTTGGGTAGTCTTATTTGGATTGAATTGATTAGTATTTTTGATCTTCCTGTTCCTGAATACTTGTATCTTTTCCCAGGTTTGGAAAGTTTTATATTTTTAAAACTTTCTTTCCCTTCATACTTATCTACTCTCTCTTGAACTCCAATGACTCCAATATTTGCTATTTAAATACTATTTCATAAGTATGCTTAATTTTTCATTTTGCACCTCTGCCAGTATATTTTAGAATAATCTTTCTTCCAGTTTTCAGATTATTTGTTCTGCTTAATCAGTTCTGCTTTTGATATTCTCTATTGTATTTTTCATTTTTTTCATTGTATGTTTCAACTCCAGGATTTTAAATTATTTCAATATCTCTAAAATTCCTGATTCTGGCCACTCATTGTTCTATTTTGTTGAATTGCTTTTCTGTATTTTAAAAAATTTTACTAAGCTTCCTTAAAGCTATTAATTTGAATTATTATTATTTTTTAACCCAAGGCCTTGCTTTATCACCCAGCTGGGAGTGCAGTGGTGTGATCATGGTTCACTTCAGCCTCGACCTTGTAGGCACAAGCAGTCCTCCTGCCTCAGCCTCCCAAGTAGCTGGGACTCTAGGCAGGTACCACCATGCCCAGGTAACCTTTAAAACCTTTTTTCGTAGAGACAAGTTCTTGTTATGTTGCCCAGGCTGGTCTCAAACTCCTGGTCTTAAGCAATTCTCCCACTTTGGTCTTTTAAGGTGCTGAGATTACAGGAAGGAGCCATTGCACTCACCCTATTTTGAATTATTTGTCAGGTCGTTCATATATCTTGACCTCTTTAGGGTCAGTTCCTGACACTTCATTTTTTCTGCTTGGTCGTAATGTATTTTCCTGATTGCTCTTGATACTTGTGGTTGTGCAACAATGTCTGCACATTGAAGTAGTAGGTACCTATTCCAGTCTTTGCAGTCTGAATTTGTCTGAGAATACCTTTCAACAGTAAGCCTGTCCAGAGATTCAGGGCAGGTCATCTGGTGTGATCTCTAAATTCATGACCACTGCAGTCATTTTAGCATTAGGGGGTTCCCTAAGCCCTGGACTGCCGTGGTTGATGCAGTACTGGGCTGGAATCCTGTGGCTACTGGCTGATACAGTGTTAGGTGTACCAAAAGTATTTGCTGATGCCTGCCTCTCTGCCTCTGAGGTTTTTCTGGAACAAATACCACTATAGTCAGCTGGCAGTGATGAAGGCCAAACATTCAATAAATTTTGAAGGGGCTATGGGATCCTGCCTGCCACTGGGGCAGGCCAGAAGGCTCAAACTATGGGTACTGAACTGGATTAAGAGGCTGTGGAGGTCTGCCTGATGCTTGGTTTTATTGGTGGGGGCCAAATTTTAGGGAATGAGGCAGGATCCTATGTTCACTTCCAACTTTCCTTCAAGTTGATGGTGTCTCTCTCTGTGCTGTGCTAACTGGAGTTGGGGGAGGAGTGATTCAGGTAATGTAAAACTGTCCTTTCTACCCTCTTTAATGCATCTTTTGCTCTTATGTTACAACCATACACTCTAATCTCTCACCTTGTTTCCCTAGGTCTCATGAAGGTATTTATGTATGTTGATAGTCCTTCTGACTGATGTTTCTGCAGTGAAACAGCTAAAGAGTTCTATTCTGCCATCTTGCTCTGTTCTTCATCCTATTCAATATTTCTTCAAAGATAACTTATATTATGTGTATTTGAGGTTTACAACATGATATTATGGGATGCATATAGATAGTAAAGTGGTTACACTAGTGAAATAGATTAATATATCTATCATTTCACATAGTTACTTTGTATTTTTGTAATAAGAGCAGCTAAAATACACTTATTTAACAAGAATACCTAATACAATACAATTTTACTACTTTACTTCTTTTATATATATTTAGTTCTTAATTATACATTAGATCTCTAGAAATTCATTCTACATAGCATCTATTTTTTGTCCTTTGATCTACATCTCCCCATTTCCTCCCCCTTCCTCAGCTATGATAACCACTGTTTGATTCTCTTTTTTTGTGTTTTTGAGTTTTTTAATATTCCACATACAAATGAGATCATGTAATGCTTTCCTTTTTTAAATTTTAATGGATTTTATTGGTAACTCTAGTGACTTGTTAATTGGTATGATGAATGCTGGAAATGGTCTCCTTTTTTGAATAGAGTCACACTCTGTTGCCCAGGCTGGAGTGTGGTAGCATGATAGAGCTCATTGTTACAAACTGGATTCAAACAATCCTCCTACCTCAGATTCCTGAGTAGCTATGGCTACATGACGTTATGGGACTACAGGCATGTGTCACCACACCTGGCTAATTAAAAAAATTTTTTTTCTAGAGACTGAGTTTTGCTATGTTGCCCAGGCTGGTCTTGAACTCCTGGCCTCAAGCAATTTTCTTGCATCAACCTCCCAAAGTCCTGAGACTGCAGGCCTGAGCCACTGCACCCACATTTTTCTTTCTGTGTTTCAATTATTTCAGTTAGCATAATGTCCTCCAGGTCCATACATGTTGTAACAAGTGGAAGGGTCTTCTTTTTTAAGACTGAAAAATATTCCATTCTATACATATATCATATTTACATATTTGTTTTTATATGCCATTTACATTGTTTCAATATTTTGGCTATTGTGAATAATGCTGCAATAAACATAAAAGTGCAGATATCTTTATAAGGTGGTGATTTCATCTTCTTTGAGTATATTCCCAGAAGAGGGACTGCTGGGTCATATGGTGTATTAATCCACTATCAAGCTGCTAATAAAGACATACCCAAGAGTGAGTAATTTACAAAGAAAGAGGTTTTATTGACTAATAGTTCCACAGGGCTGGGGAGGCCTCAGAAAACTTACAATTATGGCAGAAGGGGAAGCAAACACATCCTTCTTTACATGGCAGCAACAAGGAGAAATGCCAAAGAAAAGGGGCAAAAGCCCCGTATAAAACCATCAAATTTTGTGAGAATTTACTCACTATTAGGAAAACAGCAGCATGGGGGTAACCACCTCTGTGATTCAATTACCACCCTAGTGGGACCCTCCAATAACATGTGAGGATTATGGGAATTACAATTCAAGATGAGATTTGGGTGGGGACACAGCCAAACCATATTATACGGCATTTCAGTTTTTAATTTTCTGGGAAGCTTTATTTATTTATTTAGATGGGATCTCACTCTGTCACCTAGGCTGCAGTGCAATGGCTCACTTGCACCCTCTGCCTCCCGGGTTTAAGCGATTCTCGTGCCTCAGCCTCCCAAGTAGCTGGGATTACAGGCACATGCCACCACATCCAGCTAACTTTGTATTTTTAGTAGCGATGGAGTTTCACCATGTTGGCCAGGCTGGTCTCAAAGTTCTGACCTCAGGTGATCTGCCCTGCCTTGGCCTCCCAAAGTGAGGGGATTACAGGCATGAGCCACCGCCCCAGCTAGGATTTTTTCTGAATTTCTTTTTCAAATAGTCTATATAATTGCTACTGACTTTTATATGTTGATTTTGTATCCGGAAACTTTACTGAATTCATTTATTAGCTCTAATTTGTGTGTGTTTGTGTAATCTTTGTGATTTTCTACACATAAGATCATGTCATCTGCAAATAGAGATCATTTTACATCTTTTTTATTTGGATGCCTTTTATTTCTTTTTTCTCATTTGTTCTTGTTAATATTTCTGGTGCTATTCTGAATAAAAGTGGTGAGAGTGGACATTTATGTGTCATTCTGGATCACAGAGGAAAAGCTTTTAGTTTTACCTCATTGATTACAGTGTTAGCTGTGGGCTTTTCTATAAATGACATTTATATGTTGAGGAATTTTACTTTTATACATTAATTGTTAAGAGGTTTTTGTTTGTTTTTGTTTTTTTGAGAGGGAGTCTTGCTCTGTTACCGAGGCTGCAATGCAGTGGTGCAATCTTGGCTCAGTGCAGCCTCTGCCTCCCGTGTTCAAGCAACTCTCCTGCCTCAGCCTCCTGAGTAGCTGGGACTACAGGCACACGCCATCACCCCTGGCTAATTTTTGTATTTTTAGTAGAGACGGGATTTCACCACATTGGCCAGACTGGTCTTGAACTCCTGATCTCAAGTGATCTGCCCACCTTGGCCTCCCAAAATGCTGGGATTACAGGTGTGAGCCACTGCACCCAGCCGTTAAGAGGTTTTTTTTAATCAAGAATGGACATGGAATTTTGTCAAATACTTTTCTGTATTGATTGAGATAATCATGTGGTTTTCTATTTTTCCTGCTGTTAATGTGATGTATTACATTGATTATGTTAAACCAGCCTTTCATGCCAGGGGTAAATCCCACTTGGTCATAATGCATACTCTTTTGGATGTGTGTTGAATTTGGTTTGCTAATATTCGATTGAGGAGTTTTGTATTATATAAGAGTTATTGGCCTGTAGTTTGTTTTTTTGTTTGTTTTCTTGTGGTGTCTTTTTCTTGCTTGGATATCAAAGTGATGCTGGCCTTGTAAAGTATGTTTGTAAGTATTCCCCTAGCTCTATTTTCTGGGAGAGTTAAGAAGTATTGGTAATAATTCTTCTTTGAATGTTTGGTAAAATTCAGCCATAAAGCCATCTGTTCCCAAGCTTTGTTTTTGTTGGATGGTTTCTTTTTTTTCTTTTTTTTTTTTTTGACTGGGCCTACAGAGCTTTATTGGAAGATCCACACAAAGGCTGTTCCCTCACTTCCATAATTTCTTGATGGACATGTTTTTCTCACTGTCTTTCTGCATGACCTTGGCTACTGCCATCTCGAAGTCCTCCTGAGTAACATGGACTCGCCGTTCTCGCAGGGCATACATGCCAGCTTCTGTGCACACACCCTTCACTTCAGCTCCTGATGCTCCTGGCATGAGCTAAGCAATTTTTCTCAGGCTGATCCCCCGAGTCAGGTTCATTTTCCGAGAATGAATCTTCAGAATATCCAGCCAAGCCTCTTCATTGGGGGGTGGAAATTCAATTTTTCTGTCAATGTGCCCTGGGCGAAGCAGGGCAGAGTCCAGGATATCAATCCTATTAGTAGCCATGATAACCTTGATGTTTTTGGTGGCTTCAAAGCCATCCAGCTGGTTGAGCAACTCCAGCATTGTGCGCTGCACTTCACTGTCCCCTCCAGAACCCCCCTCCAGCCGTGAGGAGCCGATGGAGTCGATTTCATCCATGAAGATGATAGACAGAGCATGTTCCCGTGCAATGACAAACAGCTTCCTCACCATTCTTGCCCCTTCTCCAATGAATTTCTGTACCAATTCAGAGCCAGAGACATGAATAAAGGTACAGTCTGTATGATGAGCCACAGCTTGGGCCAACAGTGTCTTCCCAGTGCCTGGAGGTCCATACAGCAGCACTCCCTTGGGCTGAGCAACGCCCAGTGCTTCGAAGAGCTCGGGATGCTTAACAGGCAGCTCGATCACTTCTTTGATCTGCTTGATCTGTTTGTCCAGTCCACCAATCATCTCATAAGTCGAATCTGGCACTTTTTCTACCATCATCAATGATACCAATGGGTCCACCTTATTGGGCAGGATCTTGTGTAGAGTGTAGCTGCCATTTCTTAGAGCCACCCGGCAATTGGGTGTCACGTCATTGATGTTGATGTTTTTGTCCACGTCTACAACAAATTTGCCCTCAGGATGTACCTTGACTAACACTTTCTTCTTATCCATGGCCCGGACTACTTCCCCCACATAGGAGCCCTGCTCCTGCAGCAGCTGTGGCTCCTCCCGCAATAGGCGAACTTTAGCATTTAGTTCATTCCTCTGTGCCTGCAGCCTCCGGAGGTTTTGGCTCTTATCACTCACAATCAGCTGGAGTTCTTCAATCTTGGACAGATAATATTGGCGGAGTCCGCTGCCTGCCTTCCCCTCCTCCAGCTCCATCTGCTCTGGCCCTTCAAGCGCCATCTTCTCTCCTGTTGGATGGTTTCTAATTACTTCTTCAGTCTCTCTATTTGTTATTATAATAGTTTGTTCAAGCTTTCTGTTACTTTCTAATTTATTCTTGAAAGGTTACAGTTTTATAGGAGTTTATTAACTTTTATAAGTTATGCAATTTGTTGGCAGATACTTTTTCATAATTGTTTATTATACTTTTAAATTTTTGAGACATGTATTGTATGCTCTCCACTTAGATTTCTGAATTTATTTATTCCAATCATTTTTTTTTCTTAATCTGTCTTGGAATTTGTTGTTATTATTTATTTTTCAAGGCCGGGCACAGTGGCTCATGCATGTAATCCCTGCACTTTGGGAGGCTGAGGTGGGCAGATCACTTGAGAGGTCAGGAGTTCCAGATCAGCCTGGACAACATAGTGAAACCCCATCACTACTAACAATACAAAAAATTTGCCAGGTGTAGTGGTGCAAGCCTATAGTCCCAGCTATTTGGTAAGCTGAGACAGGAGAATTGCTTGAACCCAGGAGGCGGAGGTTGCAGTGAGCTGAGACTGCGCCACTGTGCTCCAGCCTGGGTGACAGAGTGAGACTCTGTCTCAAAAAAAAAAAAAAAAATCTTGTTTTTCAAAGAATCAAGTGTTGGTTTTATTGATTTTTTTCTAATGGTTTTTCTATTCTCTATGTGATTTATTTCTACTCTGATACTATTGTTCCCTTTCTTCTGTTAACTTTGGGTTTAGGCTGTTTTCTTTTTCTAGCTCCTTAGGACATAACATTAAGTTATTTATTTGGGATATTTCTTCTTTTTTAATGTAGGTGTTTATTACTGTAAAGTTTCCCTTTAGAACTACTTTTGCTGCACCCCATAGGTTTTGATATATTGTATTTTTTGTCATTTATATCAAAATTTAAAAAAATTTTCCTCCTGTATATGTGCTACTAAAGTGAGCACTTGTAATTTACCTTTGATTCTGATTTGATTCACTGATTTTCCAGAAACATGTTGTTTAATTTCTGTGACTTTTCCAAAATTTCTCCTGTTATTGATTTCTAATTTTATACTGTCATGGCTGAAAACAATACTATTATGATTTTAATCTTCTTATTAAGACTTGTTTTATGTCTTCTTATATAGTTTATCCTGGATAATGTTCCATGTACACTAGAAAAAATATATAATCTGCTGCTGTTGGGTGAAGAATTCTATACATGTTTGTTTAAGTCCATTTGGTTTAGTGTACAGGTCAAATCCAGTATTTTCTTCTTAATTTTCTGTCTGGTTCATGTATCTATTGTTAAAAAGTGTTATTGAAGTTCCTTAATATTATTGTATTGCTATCTACTTATTTTCATCCTCATTAATATTTGCTTGATACATTTAGGCATCTTGATGTTGGTTGCATATTTATAATTGTTATGGTCTGATTAACTTATTTTCCTATCATTACTTAAAGACCATCTTAGTCTCTTGCAACAGTTTTTGACTTGAGGCCTACTTTACCTGACATAAATATAGACACCCCTGCTTTCTTTTGGTTACTATTTGCATAAAAGAAAATCTTCCTTCTTTTCACTTTTAGTTTATTTGTGTCCTTAAGCTTGATCTGGTCTTCCTTTGAAACTCTCTATTGTATTTTTTATTTTCTTCTTTGAATAATCTAGTAGCAAGATGTCTGTTTTATTTTTCTGGATATCTATTTCTTTGCTGAATTTTTCATTTAGACCATGAATTTTTTTCCTGATTTCTTTCAATTATCCATCTGTATTCTCTTAAATCTTGCTGAGTTTTCTAATGTCATTATTATTATTATTATTATTTTCTTTGAGATGGAGTCTCATTCTGTGGACCAGGCTGGAGTGCACTGGCACCATCTCAGCTCACTGCAACCTCTGCCTCCTGGATTCAGGTGATTCTCCTGCCTCAGCCTCTTTGGGGAGAGTCATGTTTCTTTGCTTTTTCATGTTTCTTGTGTCCCTGTGTTGATATATGTGCATCTAGTGGAACATTTGCCTCTCCTAACTTTATAAAGTAGCTTTTGTAAGAAAAAAAACTTTCCCGTCGATAGGTCCTAGGGTGTTTGGCTGTGCTTCTGGCTGGACACAGTAGCGTAGTCTGTGAAGCTTTTCATCTATAATCAGTGTCAATGACAAGTGCCTGCCTCAGCGGCCTGTACTGCAGTAATTTGTGCCAGTGGTGGTAGCAAAGTAGATTACACTGGGCTGGCTCAAACACTAAGAGAGCACAACTACTCCACCAACTCAGGTATAGCTTCCCTTGGGTGGGATGCTGGGCTGGTTTATGTGCTGAGGGAATAAAGCCAGTGTGCTGGCTTGGGCATAGCTTTTCTAGAGGTGGGGCAGCAGGCTGCTTTATGTGCCAAGGGGTCACAACTGCTCTACCATCTCAGACATGGCTTTCCTGGGGCTGAGGCTGGGGCCCCCAGCTAGTTTGCATGCAAGGGGGTATTGGTGCCATTCTTTTGAGCATGGCTTCTCTGGGGGCAGGGTGTTTGGTTCATGCTTGAGAGCGCACAACTGCTCCACCAGACCAGGCTTGGCTTCCTTGCTGGGTTGGACTGTTTGGTCCATGGGGGCCTGAGCATCCTGTAGGTTCAGAAGCCTGGGTCATGACTGTTCCAATGGGCCTAAGCCTAAGCTTCAAATGGCCATGTGTGGGGCATAGCTGCCACTGGAATGGAGAGGATAGAGTGCCTTCTAGGCAGCTTCTTATAAAGGTATTTTGATCTATATATCCTTGGTAAATCTGTATTTCTGAGACAGCATGAGATCAAGAACTTTCTATTCTACTATCTTGCTTACAAAATTCAACAGCTTATTTCCTCTTTTTTTGTCACAGAGTAATATTCCATTGTGTAGATGTACCATACCATAGTTTGTGTATATATTCATTATTAAATGATACTTAATTGCATGCAGTTCTGGCAATTATGAATAAAGCTGCTATAAACATTCATGTGCAATTTTTCATGTGAATATAAGTTTTCAAGTCATTTAGGGAGATAACAAGCAGTGCAGTTGCTGGATTACATGATAAAAGTAAGTTTAATTTTGCAGGAAATTGCTGAACTGTCTTCCAGAGTGACTGTACCATTTTGCATTCCTGTCAGCAATCAAGAGAATTCCTGTTGCTCCACATCCTCACCAGCATTTGTTGTCATCAGTGTTCTGGATTTTAGACTGAATGTAGTGATTTCATTTTTTCCTCTTCTAGATGCTGTCTAACTTTTATTGTGATTTGGTCCCATGAGTTGTTTTAAATTGTGTTATACAAGAATTTCTTAGTGTATAGAGTTTCCTATGTTTTCAAATTGCTTTTTAATTTTAATTCCATTATGGTTAGAGTGTGTTTATTTTGGTGGTTATCTGTGGAAATTTTCATTCTGATCTAGTTAAGTGGTGACTTTGTGAGTTTCCGTGTGCTTAAAAAGAGTGCAAACCTCTCATTGTGGCTGCCCTGCAGGTTAGTTTATATAATAAATAAGTTTCCTCATCCCTGAACCTGCCTGGTACCTTTCGCAATATATTAGATGTTTAACACTAAGGATCTGTTTTGTTCTAGAAAGTTATTTTTATCTGTCCTCATTACAGTCCTGCTCTGAAGTCCAGACAATGGAGGGGTAAGCAAAATGACCTCAGACTGAGCCAGGAAATTTCAAGTCACCTGCTGTAGGTTACTACTAATGGAGCACTGCCTATTTACCTGGACACCAAATTATCCAGTGCCAAAATGATGTCTCCTTCAGGTCTAGATCCCTTAGCCATATGGCCCTTCTTGCCAGACTGGACCTGAAAAATATTTCTGCATATGACATTCCTGTTTCACCTACAAAAGGCATGGTTTTGACCCAGGACAAAGTTCGCCTCCAATCTTATCCACACTATTTCTCTTTGCTTTCCTGATAAGGGATAAACATTTATGTCCTGCCTATAAATGCAGTGGTTCAAAGTCCAGAGTCCCTATGCTTCTAGCACATTACAGCCATGTCTAGGTGCAGAAGACTCTAAGGAGAACAGTGCAGTTTGCCCTCAGCCCATGCAGAGCCTCTCCATGGCTTCTGTACCTCGAGCATTAGGCCAGATCTCTTCTCTCTAATCCATCTGTCACCTCTCCTGTCATCTGTTTCCATGCTGTGAGGTCCATCCGCAGAACACCTCCATGGCTCTCATGCTCAGTTTGGTTCTGAGTCTCCTCAAGTTGGGATCAGGTAAGACTGATGTTTGTTTCCTTCTCATTGACTAAAGTTTGAGTTCTTTAGCTACGATGATTGCAGCAGAATGGAATGGGGGCATTTTTATTGTTTCTGTTCCTTTGGCTTCTCCTAGCCTCAGCCTGGGGAAGGATCAGGCACTGTGGAAACAATTATAGTAGCTTCTAAATACTGGACACACAGGTGTTGGAGAGGCACCATGATCGTAGATGTGGACACACCAAATGTGTTAAAGTGAATAGATTCGGTGTTTGTCCCAGATGGGCTAAGCGGTATAGGCAGGGTTATTAGAGCACCCAGGTTGCTGACATGGATGCCCAGCTGGGAAGAGACACTATTAGAATTTTTGGGGAAAAGACAGTTTGTCCAGCTGACACGGTGAGTTAGAAATGTCTGTGGTATGAGACATGAGGTGGAGGAAGGTGTACAGGTCTTGAGGTGATAAATTAGCTGAAACCTAGCATATTCTGGGAAGAAATCCACTCTTCTTTCTCCCTCCAGTTACTGTTAACACAGAACCTAGTATATAAGTTGTTAAGTAATTGAATAAAATTCACAGAGGAAGCTTGAGGTTGGAGCAGAATGTCGGTTGCTAGGTGGTCAGTACCCAGCCATGGAAGATTCGATTAACTGTGTTCACTTTCTGTCTGTAAAGATTCATCCTACCACCTGTCCACCTATATCTTTTTTTGCTAAATAAAGCTAAAAGAACAGAAATAAGGGCAATCAAAACATATAGCATGTTTCCTTAAAACAAAAAACCCATATGTGTTATTAATAGGAGAATCTCTCATTTCAGCTTGTTTTCATTTATTTTCTGATGAGCTTCTTTGTCTCCTTTCTGTTTCTGGGTGAGGCAGCAGGGAATCATGGAAATGATCTTGGCGATAAAAACATTTTGTTTTTTAAAACTCTTATTTCAACTGTTTGTGACTTTATGGTTCATAGCTTCCTTCAGTGTTGGTTTGCTGATGATTACATGAAGTTACGATCACATTCCTGATGGGGTTGTGGCGAGGACTGCATGAGCTTGTGCATGTAGAATGCACAGAGCTGCACTGGTGCATGCCATGTTGCAGCAACAGGCAGTCTTGTTCCTTTCTCATCTTCAAGGGAAGGAAGTAGAAAGAGTGAAAGGAGATGTCATAGGCAAGAGAGATGACAGCAGCAAGAGCTGGCTGGTGAAACAGAGGTACCCTGGAAAATGTTACCTTGCCTCGAGAGCCCCACACAGCCCTGAAGGCAGCATCCATAGCAGCCCAGCTTGTATAGGCTGGGTCCCAAAATCTCACCTAAGATAAGGGCCTTCCTGCCAGTGATTTGTTCAGCAGGTGATTCTGGAAAACAAAGTGAAGGAGTGCAGAGAGTGAAGCCATAGAAGGTGTGTGGGAGGAAAGCCATAGAAGGGGTGCTAATGAGCAGGTTGCTGCAGTGGCAACTGGGACCCAGTCCCACTGGGATCATTGGAGGAACTGTATAGATGGTGGCTCAGAGTCATCCCAGCATCTACTGTCTCCTTTCCCTGCTGGGCGAGATGTGCCCCAGAACTATTAAAATCTCAAATCTCTGAGCTGCCCTGTGCCAGGGCTAAGTAGGTTCCAAAGGTTCCAGGAAGGAAGCCCTCAGCAGAAAGGCAGAGGCCAGGCTCCAGGGGCGGAACTGTAGGGAAGTGTCCATTCCACTGCAGGGGACTCAGGGTTGGGTGGTAGGAGCAGGGCCTTAACATCTGCTATACCAGGTCAGCAGCTGATCAGACATCAGGCTGCAAAGTCATGTCTCATTTAATAGTAGTCTTGAAGATGCATGAGTGAAATACATTTTAGCAAGATTGATAAAAATTTAATTAAACTAAAAAATAATTGGTGCTAAAATTTAAAAAATCCACTTATCTAGAAATTCACACATGTGATTCACTTTGCCTCTGATGCACATGCACACACCACACACAGGCAGATCTATATACCATAAATGGATGCATGTGAATTAATCAAGAGACATTTCAAACAAAGTGGGTGGCTACTTAGAAGATGAAGGGAGTGGGCCTCCATAGTTTTACATCTAAGAAGCACTGTAATCCTTACAGGGTAGGAAGAGTGATTTACACCAGGAAAATTACTCAAATGATTGTTAAACAGATGAGCAAGTAAGAAAGGAAATTGTACTCACCGTTCATATGAGTAACTTGTTTGTGGAGCCTGTTCTCTGTGATGGGCTCTGTGCTGAACAAGGGAGTACCATGCTGAGCAAGAGAATCAGGCCCTGTCCCCACAGAGCCAAGAGCTGTGCAGGGGAGGCTCACAGAAAATGTGTAATTGTCACCCTTGAAGCAAGACTATGAAGAAAGTTTCAAAGCAAGGTGAGGACATAGGTGTACCAAGATTTTTTTTTTTTTTAAAGCAGGCAAGACATGTTGACAAAGCACCAGATGAAGCACCATTGAGTGCTAAAATAAAGTGTAAAAACGTACTACACAAGTGTAAAAAGTACATGCTTGGGAAAGTATAAGTCACACATGAATGTGCTAAAGAATAAATGTGTGGAAAATAAACTGTAAAATCTTGTTTCTGTGTCATAGCATATCTTTCAGAACTTTGAAGAACTAGTAGATTTTCGAATTAACTAAGGAAGTACAAATAAACGTGTGCACCATGGGTGGAAATAAAATATTCCTCTATAGTAGTCATAAAACAATTATATAACATTGTGTTTGAAGGAAATCTTAACAAATTGTCCCAAACTGTAGGCTTTAGGGCTCATCTTCTTCTCTGAGTTAGAAAGACGTCGACTTTGGATTTTAGCAAGGAAGATGGAAAGGGGGCTTTTTTAAAATTGAAGCCAATGGACAGAGGGGAGAGAATATAGCAATGTAATCTCCTTGAATCAAAGGGTCTGCATTTAGAAAGGGACTTTCTTTCCTGTGGATAACATGGTTTTCTCATCTTGAAAATAAAGACATTAATAATACACATCTTGAAAATAAAGACTTTTTTAAATGTCTTTCTCATCTTGAAAATAAAGACATTAATAATAATGCAGGTGCTACTGAAGACCGAATGAAGTAATTGATGTGGACATGGTTTGTCAAATGTAAGATGTACAAATGCAAGTCACTGGATTTAGCAATAGGATTGTGGGTTGTGGGCTAGGCAGTGGCTTACACCTGTAATCCCAGCACTTTGGGAGGTCAAGGCAGGCGGATCATGAGATCAGGAGTTCGAGACCAGCCTGACCAACATGGTGAAACCCCGTCTCTACTAAAAATGCAAAAATTATCTGGGCATGGTGGTGGGTGCCTGTAATCCCAGCTACTCAGGAGGCTGAAGCTGGAGAATAACTTGAACCTGGGAGGCAGAGGTTGCAGTGAGCTGAGATCGTGCCACTGCACTGCAGCCTGGGTGACAGAGCGAGACTCCATCTCAAAAAAAGAAAAAAAAAAAAGGATTATGATGAATGTTTCTCCCTGATGTACTTCTCCAGCCCAGCCCACTGGAGCCCTGAGTAGGTCACACTGTAAAGGTTTTTGATTATTTTTCTTTTTATTTCTTCCCATAGGGCAGTGGCAGGTGTTTGGGCCAGGCAAGCCTGTCCAGGCCTTGGTGGGGGAGGACGCAGTGTTTTCCTGTTTCCTCTCTCCTGAGACCAATGCAGAGGCCACGGAAGTGCGGTTCTTCAGGGGCCAGATCTCTAGTGTGGTCTACCTCTACAGGAAAGGGAAGGACCAGCCATCTATGCAGATGCCACAGTATCAAGCCAGGACAAAATTGGTGAAGGATTCTATTGCAGAGGGACGCGTCTCTCTGAGGCTGGAAAACATTACTGTCTTGGATGCTGGCCTTTATGGATGCTGGATTGGTTCCCAGTCTTATCACCAGGAGGCTGTCTGGGAGCTGCA